GAGAGAGAGATCCAGGACATATTTTGAGGAAGGAAAGGAGATGTTTCTGTCCTGTGCTGTCCGGGTGGGTCCATCCCGGGTGGGCAGCCTTTGCAAAGCTGAGGGTCAGCAGATGAATGCAATCCTGCATGTCTTGAAAATGCTCGTGCCCAGACTCATCCTGGGGGGTGGGGGGGGATTTGTATCCATCTGTCTCCCATCCCACCCCACCCCAGATTGGTTTCTATTAAGAATCCGCCAGCTTGGTATTGGGTGTGTGTGTTCTGTTCCTCCCTCGCCCGAACCCTCTTGGTGACTTCCCTTAGGCAAGATTAAATCACCAGCAGGATTCTGGCCTGCCTCCTCGCCTTTGCCGTAAACTCTAAGAAGAAAAGAACATCCTTTGGACAATGGATTTTGTGCCTGAAGTGATTTAACTCCTTCCCCCCCCCCTCAGTGTCAGACAGGATGGGGGTGGGGGAACCTTCCCAGCCTTTGCTGAGATAATGGCAGGAATTGAACCCAGGACCCTCTGCTGAGACACATCTGCTCCATTCCATCCCAAGTGTCATATTTTCTTTGTAGCCAGGATCTGGATTGGGACGTGCCCCCCCCTTTAGACTCCGGCTTGGTCTGAGCGCTGGCTCTGCCTGTGGCAAGGGTTCCCCCGATCGATAATTCGAGTGGAGGAACTTTTTCCTTGGCTGGCGATGCAGCTGGTCTGGCAGAGTGGAAGGTCTCCTAATATTTTATCCCAACCTTTTAAATAAATAATAAAACTCCTCCTGACTGAAAGGCAGGAAAACAGAAGGAAGGAAGGAAGGAAGGAAGGAAGGAAGGAAGGAAGAGCATGTTTTGTGGTACGTAGGAGACAAACTGACTTTTGTCTGGCATATCCTTTTGTGGACAGTAGATGGTCAAAACATACGTGACATAAAAATTTGCTTGTCTTCAAAATGCTGCAAATCGTTTTCACTTCTTTTGACAATTTGTGTAAATTATTTCAATAGGTTTCTCTTTTTCCCCCCCTTTTCTTGACCAGGCTTGTTTAGGTTAAGGCGTATCAGCATTTTAATGTCATTAACGATGGAAAGGCCATTTTTTAAAGGGTGGTTTTGGGGAGCGGTCCCAGGAGTCTCCACCGCCCACCCCTCTCCTCAAGACCAGGGGTCAGTCACTTAATCCAGTCACCGGGGGGGGGCGGGGCGGGAGGGAGTTAAGCACCTTGCATCGCTCAGGGAGCAAGCGCAACAAATGTTTATATGCGGTAAATGTTGCTTGCAAAACAACCCCTTCCCCTTTCCAGTTTGGCTCAGTTTCATTGAGGGTGCCCCCCCCGAGCTAAATTACAAAACTGCTCACAATGCCTCATAACTAACACATGACGCTTGGGGGTAAGGCACCCCCCACTCGCCCCACAACTCCCCTCACCCTCTTATTTCTTTTTTTTTTTTAACCACAAAATGTAACTCTTGGGCTCCTATCAAAACAAATAACCTCAACAACGCTTGAGAAAGGTGGTGCGGTTAATCAGTTACCTTTTACATATATACATAGATGTAATGCTTAAAGCTGAATTAAGCCTTTAACAACCCCCCCCCCAATCCCCCCAGCCCATGGCTGATTTATGGCTGCAGCCAGCCTTAATTAACATTGATTCCAGGGGGACAGTAAATGTTGAAAAGGCTTCGCGATGGAGGTGGAACAATACGCTCTCTGGGCGTTTTCCAATTTGTAGCATGATTTACATGGAAGGATGGCCTTCTTTTCCTGGGGTTGTCCCTTTTTTCATCTCGTCTTCGTGATGAGTTATATCCCATCCTCTGATAGCAACCTAGGCTGTCAAATATTCCCGGTGATTTAGGGTCCCCCGCCACCATCGTTGAGATAAATAAGGGCCAAATAAAAGACGGGAACGAAAACCCAATTTGAGGCCTCGCAGGGGGTCCCTCGTTTGCTCCGTGTGTCATCGCTTGTCCAGGACCTGTGGCGTTTTTACGAACTGGCTGTAATGAAAGTCAGATCAAATGTTCAGGCTCTCCACATTTAATCAACAACTGTGGAGAACTGGGCAAGTTCTTAGGAGAGCCCCAGCCAACGAAGGCAAAATTTATGGTCCAAGCATCCAAGCGGCCCGGCGGGGAGGGAGGGCCCGCCGGCCGGGAAGCCTCTTCTCATAGTACTACCTGACACCAATCCCCCCGAAAACTCTCAGAAAGTGAGTTATGGAAACATAAGGTGGTGGTTGTAAAGCTGCCAGCTGCTGGATTTCAGGACTTGAAACCCTTCCCAGTGTTTCGGACGAGGCACTTTATATGGGCAGCAGAGTAAATATTCCAATTTTACTGCCAATTTAAAGGCATTTGGTTTACAGTAATGATCTCGCTTAGGCCCTTCTCTGTTTATAGAAAGTGGAACAGGAAGAAATGAGCATTAACCATTAACAGTAGCAGTTCCTGTGGCCCGCGTGGGTCTCCCTCCCTCTCTCTAGTCCCTCGTGCCAGGCACCGGCTTGTGGCTCCGACGGAAACTCCGTCCCTGGAGCAGATCCTCCCGTCAGGGTTCGGGGCTCTTGACCTCGTTGCAGCCGAAGACTACAGTTGACCCAGTCCAGGGCAAGTGCCTCTAGAAGCGTTTTTAGGAGCAGAGGCCTGTGGTGCCAGTGAAACTCATTGCCACAGGACATGACATGGCAGGAACCACTGACCAGTACCATGCCATGGTCTTTGGCTGAGGATGTAACAAATTGCATTTCAAAGCAGCATAAGAACTGGGTCACAAAAAGATGTGATTGCCTTCCCCACCCCCTGTTGCTTTTTCCCCACAAGCATAGGCTGGTTAGACTGCCTCTGGTCTGTCTGAGGCTCGGCTCCAGGCGAGGGGCGCCAGGCCTTTGTTGCTTAGCGCCAGAGGCTTTTCTAGCCATCCAGGTGATGCTCACCTGAGCCCTCATGTTTGGGAGCCCGAGACACCGGCAGTGCCTCTGCTCCAACCAGGGCGGGTGATTTTCTTTGACCCTGCCGAGGCCAGCCTGCTGAGAGGCGAGCAGGCGGGCGAGCGGGCAGGCAGCTCTGCTCCAATGGCCCCGATTCAGGAGAGCATTCTCTCCTAGGGGCCTGACAGGGAAGGACCCTCTGTGTGTGTGTGTGTGTGTGTGTGTTGCGCAAGAGTATTCCTTCTGCTCCGCCAAGCACCCAGCACCCTGTTTTTCTCCCGATGCCTCTGCTTGAAAGGGTCCTGAGCGCTAGGGTCCCATGTTAATGAGGGGGCTGGCAGGGGAGGTGGCGCACACGTGTCACTTGGATTTTCTGCCTCGGGCGCCAACGGGCCTTGAGCTGGCGCTGCCTCTCGGATCAGTGCCACCCTGAATTCCACACTGGGCCTTTCCATCTTAATCAACTGCCTTTTTCCCTTGAAGAAGAGGGAAGTTGGAGATTATTTCACATTATCTGGTTGATTCCCGTGACAAAATGGTTTATGGCTTGAGACTATGGGGTATTCGGCTGACGACTCAGCCCCAGCGGCTTTGCCCACTTTCGTTCTGGGTAGTTGTGCGTTTTTCACAACTGGAGGCTTTGCCGTTTTCTTATTGTGCCGTGAGAATCTCGATCTCCACTTCGAGGCGTCCATGGAAGGTTTTTAAAATCCCATTTCTTTTGCATGCACACGGTTGATGTGGAGTGACAGACGCAGTGCTGGGGGGGCGGGGGGGGCGGGATCCCCTGCAAGACCGTGTCCTTACAGAAGAAGAAGAGGCAGGAACCCTTCTCGGTGGCCCTTCGGTCCTCTTTCCGTCTTCTCTGGGTGAAGAAAAAACACATTTGCAGGCACCATCGCTGAAGAGGCTTCTTTCTCCTGGATTCCAGATTCCATCTTTAGGTGAAAGTCTGAAACGCAGCCCTGTCTTTCAGCCGAGAAGGGCCCCGAGGTTTCTGTGTTTTCCCCCCCAACACCACAGATGCATCCCAAATTAAACTTTGCACCACCCCCCAAGTATTGGCATCTCTCACCTCCAGAAGATTAAAAACAACGACAACAAACATTTCTGAATGATATTGTCCGTGGGGATGAATGTACCTTAATGGTTCCTTCAGGGAAGGGCTGGAATTCTCCACACACACCCAACGCCTGCCTTTCCCCCCTTCCCTTATATTTTGCAAAGCAAGAATCGGGTGAAACAAAACGAAAGAACAATACAAAAGCAGCGATAGAAATAGGTAGTGGAGAAAAAAATAAATCTGCACATGGACTTCAAGAAAAGGAAGCATTTTATCTTGGTTGATATCTCTACAAAGTTCTCCTAGTTTTTGTTTGTTTGTTTTGCGTTCAAGCACTAAGTAGCAAGAGGCGGATGTTTAACTTTCCTGTGTTGCCCTCAAAGTCTCCAAGTGGCAGCAAAGGAACAAAGTAACTTTTCTGAGGGGAAGGCCCGCCCGCCTCCAGTAGGAAGTCCAGACTTTGGAGTTTTCCTTAATCCTTCTCCCTGTTCTCCATGTTTACTCACAAGAAGGCCCCACTGGGCTAAGTGGGCCTGCGGCGTTGCTGTAAGGTCTGCAATGTGAACACCTGAAGCCATGCAGAAAATTCAGAAATATTTTATGCACATGACAGCTTTTTTGCGACGTTAAACAGTTTCGCTTACAAGCGAACGGCGCCATCCAAAACAAGGCACGTGGTTTGCCAGTGAAGCACGGTAGTTGAGCGGAAGACCGGAGCGGCCGAAGATGGGTCTTTGGCCTCAAGGAAAGGAAGCCTCAAGGTGGCCTCGGGGGTGTGTGTGTGTGCTCACAGAGGTGGTGCCACCACCAAGGAAGCCCTGCCTTGAACGTCACCTAGACCAGAGGGGAGACACGCACACACGCACACACACACACCGGCCTGGGGCCGTGGCCAGTCCCTTCTGCAACTCCAGTCACCCATTCCCCTGGCACCAAAGTCAATGAGGGGAAGGCCCGCCCGCCTCCAGTAGGAAGTCCAGACTTTGGAGTTTTCCTTAATCCTTCTCTTCTTCCCCTTTCCAGATTTTTATCAACAATGAATGGCAAAACTCAGAGAGTGGGAAAATCTTCCCTGTCTACAACCCAGCGACAGGAGAGCAGCTTTGCGAAGTGCAAGAAGCGGACAAGGTAATAAAGCAGCTCTGCGGATTTGCTCGCCCCGCCGTCTGGATGATGGCCCTCATGTGCCTGGCGCTCAGGCGGATGACAGCCACCAGATCCTCTTCCACCCTCCGTGAAGCCCACCCCTCTACCGGCTTTGCCTGCAGAAGGGCCTTGCGTCCCCAAGAGGAAGAAGGATCAGAGGGATCTAGCAAAGAGCAAACCGGCCCCGGCCCCAGGGAGCGTGAGGAGGCAACCTGTCCTTGCAAAGGGGGCCAAATTACACACTATAGTTCACTTCTCCTTTGAAGAGGGAATTTTTTAGCTGTCGAGTCCCGGTTGCATCCATTAGTCATATGTTTGAAGCATTGTGAACTTGCTTCTCAGCCAAAAAGTCTCCCTGACATTTTTTCTCCAGGGGGAAGGGGGCTTTTCTGGCAGAGGGTGCCTCTGTTCCACAGGGCAGGGTCTCAGGGTCTTCTCTTTCCCCTCCCCTCCTTGACCTTGGCAGGCCGATACAGACAAAGCCGTCAGGGCAGCCCGCCTGGCCTGCACCCTGGGCTCCGTCTGGAGGACGATGGACGCCTCCCAGCGCGGTCGCCTCCTGGACAAGCTCGCCAACCTGGTGGAAAGAGACAGAGCCCTGCTGGCTGTAAGTTGGGGAGGGGAGGGGCCTTGTTGAGCAGGTGGGGGCGAGGGGAGAACTGCCGTTTGTTTTTCATGGGGGGGGGAAGACTTCCACCATCAGGGAAGACTGCTGGGAGGGGGACACCCAAATATCTGAAACCAAAGAAAAATGTTTTGTGATCCCTGTCGCCCAATTAAATAAATATTAGGGAACCTTATGAGTTTTTTCTTGGTTCATTATTGCACAGGCTGGGGGGGGTATAATTTTATCTCCCCCCCACCCGTTTCTCTTTAAATGTTCTTGAAGAGAATGCCTGGGAGAGTCAGGGGTGCATCAAGAGCAGGAAAGAGGCTTTCTCTCCATCCGAGGAGAGAGGACGCCTCTTCTAAGATGGGCATCTATGCCTCCCCTCCCCCCCCCGGAAAAAATCTATGCAATTTGTTTAAAAGATAAAATAAAAACCCGCTGACAGATTAATCAGAGGCAGCTTTTTAAGTCAACCAATGCTTTAAAATGATTAATCAAACCAATTAGCTGACGAAAGATTACAAACTTTCCATGCCAGCCATGTTGAGTTTGGGGGGGGTTGAATTGAGAATGGAATTCCTTCATGGCTTATCATGCATTCCTTAGATGGGGGGGGGGCACGTTTCCTTAAAGAGAGGCTGCCCTTTCTCTTGAAATCTGTTTGTGTGCATGTGTACAAGTGTGTGTCCGTGGGATATCGAGAAAGGAAATGCAAAATGAAAAGGCGCAAGTCCTCCTTGGGAGAAAAGACAGGCAGAAATAAAAGTTTTAAAAAGCAAAAATGTGAACCGAAAGACAAGCGGCAGCTGCTGGAGTTTGTTCCCAGTGAAGCCGAGAAGGAGTCCATTGTCCGGGCAGAACTGTGCCAGTTTAGGAAGACAGGATTCGGGAGGGAGAGAGAACGAAATCCAGAATGCAAGGTCTCCCTTGGTGGGCACCGGCCAGGCTTCATTGGCTCAGCCACAAAATCACAAAACGTGCAAGGTTTCTGAGCTGAGCAAAGCTCTTCATGGGCTAAGTGGTGAAAAGGAGGGAGGGAAAATGTGCCCCATCCAGGGGGGAAAAATATGAGCTGGATTGGCTTCTCCAGGTGATGTCAGACTGTCTCTGGAGCAGAGCTGTTTGCTGGGAGGGGACGGGCAGGCAGTGGCTGAGCTCCTGCTTAGCCGGTGAAGGGGCCGGTTCAGTCCCCAACAGCCCTCCGAGCAGAGTGTCCCGGGCCGGACAGAGGCCCAAAGGCCGCTTCCCAGGGTCTCCCGCCGGACTGGGGACTTGGCAGGAAAGGTGGGCACCGTGGGCTCCAGCTGGGAGGAGGCCAGATCTTCCGCCCCGGGAAACCAGTTTCCAAACCAGACCTGCTTCCTCACAGATCTACGGCCTCCAGCTGGCTTCAGAAGGCACAGCAGAACAGCCCTGCTTCTCAAGCCATAGCCCTTCCCCAGAACCGCCCTGTAACCTCAACCATGAACCAAAGGCCAGGCTGGCCCTCCTAAGGTGGCAGGCAGGTGGGCAGCTGAATCACGACCAGTTGTCCTGGCGCCCCTCGATCGATCGTAATGCCTTCTGGTGCAGGAAGGGAAGCCAGCTGGAAACTGGGAGCCTGTGGCCCAAACTGAGCAGTGTGATTAGCACATCATTACAAGCAGATGCAAGGGAGGGTGGGGAAAAAAACCTCTGGTTGTCCCTGCACTGAGCTTGCTTCTCTCTGCAACTTGGCAAATGAGCTTGCTGGAGAAACCCAAGTGAAAGAGTTCTGGGATGTCTCCCTCTCACATAGACACACACACAAGACACAAGACACAAGACACAAGACACACAAGACACACAAGACACAACACACACACACACTCTCTCTGGCATGCCAAAGCAAAGGCTGAGCTGCTCCCTTCAGGCAGCTGGCCCAGCAGAGCGCATGCAGCCGGCCTCGACACGGTGGCACTCCTAATGTTATTTTCCACATGTCAAGTGCTTTGAACTAAGCCGGCAAACATCTTAATTCCAGCTTTGTCAACACATAAATCATCTTACCACCAGCCTACGCTGTAAAATCGCCACGGGGAAGAGGGGCGGGCTTGGGCCCCTTGCAGCGGCTCCACTGCCTGTCCTTGGACGGCGGTGCGCTTCCCCCGGGCTGAGGAGCATCCTTCTTGAATGGAGAGAGCTAGAAGGGAGAGCACACATATTGCCCCCCCCACGTCCCTCAGTGGAAGCCAGAGAGAGAGGGGTGTGTGTGTGTGTGTGTGTGTGTGTGTTGGGTTACGGCAACTGTCTTCCTGTATTTCAATTAGATTTATGGCCCACATCCATTCGTGTGTGATGCCAGCTTTCCCAAATGCCTCTCTCCCTTTGGAACAATGGCCGGCAGATCACGGTGCCCTCTTAAAAGTGATTTAAGATTTTTATGAGGTTCTTTAAGAGCCTGGATCTTTCTTTCTGCGCAGGGAAAGATCTCCTTAAGGAAGGGCCCGCAGGCCTCTCGTCTCGAGAGGGGGCTCAAGAGGAGGAAGACGGTTTGAGTTTGTTCATTTGATGGCCGTGACGAAGGAGGAACGCCCCCGGGCGATGGATGGCTGAGAGCCCTCAGCAGGGGAGTTGGGCGAGATCCCCCCCACGAGATCCCCCCCCCAGACAGGCTTCAGACCTGTGTGTGTGTGTGTGTGTGTGTGTGAGAGAGAGAGAGAGAGAGAGAGAGAGAGAGGCTGGCAGAGCCCCTTCCCTGCAGCTGCCGGGCTCTTGCGTAGGGCAGTGAAGGAAGGGAACCTCTGGCGCGTCCGGCCAGATGTGATGAGGCTCAGCGACAAAGGGGGCCGGCCCGAGCGTTGGGTCTGTGGGGAAGCGGGCACGTGAAATAATTGGTAGTAAAACACGAGGCTTATTCAAAGAGACCAAGACAGAGAAGACCAGCTTCCCTAGACAGGAACCAAGAGCCATTGGAAGCGGGTCCCCCGGGGCTAGTTTGGTGGACTCTGACTGGCAGCCACAGCTTGCTGAGGTTTTGAGGAAGAATCTTTCCTCGTCTTGCCTGGGGATCCCCTGAGGGTCTCCCGTCCGAGTCCGCTTCTCTTGAGGCCTGTCTCCCTGCTTGGCACCCTGAACTTTGGTCTGATTTGGGGGCTAAGCAGACCAACGGGGGCACGTTCAGGGTGCTAAGGAGGGAGGCGGGCTTCAAGAGAAGGGGGTCCTAACTGGGAAGGAGAAGATCAGTCTAGGAAAGGAAGGAACAAACCAAGCAAAGCAAAGAGGGGGAGGGAGGTACAAGGTGAACCGCCCCCCCCTCCATGTTAGGAACTGTCGGGGTGGGGAGATAAGCAGGAGGTCATCAGCTGCGAAGGTCTCCTGCACAAAGTCTCCTGGGGATGAACCCGAGCAGAGCATCATCCTGCAACACCTCCTGACCACCCCCTGGCAAGCCTTGTGCAGGAGGAGGGCATCCTGCTGAAAAGGCCATGAATGCAGGAAGTGTCCATTGGGAAAGGCTGGCCTGCCTCCGAGACCTGGTCCTCGACTGCCTCCCCTCCCTCCCACCCACCCCCGGCACTGCATGTCACCCATTGGTTGCCTGAACACCCCCATCCCTTCAGGCTGGCCTTTTCTGCCCCCTTGAACGGTCCTGCCCAGCCAGGTTCCCCGGGAACCTTCATGGGGCTCAGGCGACTGAGACCTCAACCAGGACAAGGGGATGGTTTGGGGACTGTGGGGGGCATTGGGGTGGTGGGATATCCACTCCAACCGCCTGTGGTTTCTGGGGCAGCCCCCACGGACTGCTCCCTGAGCTGCCCTCTTCCTTAGCCAAGATGGGCCCATTCTGTCCTGACGCGGGACAACCATCGAGGCTGGGCTCAGCACCGAGAGCGTGGAGGGGTTCCCCCCCCGAGGAACGCCCTCTTGTTTGGGCTGTGCTCCTGTGAGGTCCACAACTGGAGGGCCCCGCCCCAAACTGCCCACGGGCCGATGAGGGGAGGGTGGCGGAGGCCAAGCGCCCGGTCGGTCTCTGGAGGCCGGCGGAGAGAGACGCCGAGTCGCCCAGCGGCCGATGCAAAGGGCCTGGAAAGGGGAGGCCGGTTTGTGGCCGTGGACTCTCTGACTCTGGCCTCGGCTTTGCCCCTCCAGACCCTGGAGTCCCTCAACAGCGGGAAGCCCTTCCTGCAGGCTTTCTACGTCGACCTCCAGGGCGTCATCAAGACTCTGCGGTATTATTCCGGTTGGGCCGACAAGATCCACGGCGTGACCATTCCTGTGGGTGAGTCCAGGGCCTGGGAGCCCCTGTCCTCCTCCCCCCCCCAAGCACTTGTCCGTCCTCTGGGTGAACCATCCGACAGATGTGGGCCATGGAGCCCCCCCCTTGTGTTCAGGGGCTGTTACCGCAACAGGTCCCACCCAATCTACTCCCCCAATGCTTACGGACCTGTCCCCACCTAAGAAGTCAGTTTCCTGCTGCCGGCTGCTGCTGCTGTCTGGATGGTCCTGTCTTAGAGCCCAGTGGGGCATGATAAGTGCACAGAGCCAGAGGGGAACCCCAAAGGTCACCTAGTCCTACCCCTCGCCCATGCAAGGGAAACCTGCAACTTACACATCCCTGTGTCGCCTTCTTTTTAAAAGCATCCAAGAAAGGAGATGCTCAAGCAGCCGCACCCACTGCGGATCTGCTCTCCAGCTGCCATGGGCTCTGCCAGATGCTGAGCTGAAATATCTTGTCTCTGAATTCGAGCCCCTGGGTTCGGGTCCCGCCCTCCAGAAGCAGAAAACACGCCTGTTCTTCTGCAGCTTCCCGAGCATCCTCTTCAATCTGCCCCAGCTGTGATGATCATCCACGTGAACGCCAAAAGGGCCTTGAAAAGAGAGCCAGAAACAAGGCTGGTGACTTTTCTACCCTGTGCTACAGCGGGATCATTTTCATTGCTGTGGGTTTCCGAGGCTTGTATGGAAACCGTAAAACTCTACGGCTCTTTAGGAGTCTGGCTGAGGCCGAGAGTTTGGAAAATCCATGTGAGGGGATGCGGGAGGGGAGACCTGCTGTGTGTGTCCCGTCAGATTAAGTGGTGCTCACCTGACCTTGGAACAGGGTTTCATCTCACAATTTGGCTCCCTTTTCCTTGGTGTCAAGCAGCCTAGTAAAGACATGAGGCACTGTGCAGCCATGATCCGAATCCAGAAACAACGGACAAGTGGAGGGAGTCAAAATGATGTTGAGCTGAGTTAAAAATAAGTAACTAACACAGACCAGGAGCCACTTTCTGGAGAGAAGCTCGCTAGGGCTGAGTTAAAAATAAGTAAATAAGTCCAGGGACTAACACAGACCGGGAGCCACTTTCTGGAGAGAAGCTCGCTAGCAGCCATGGGTAGCCCAGCGTGGGTGGTGGGTTGTGGGCATCTCCACTGACTCTGATGAGCATCCCCCTTGTTTTGGGCAGAACGAGGGCTTCCCCTGTTGCCGAATGGGAGGTTTTATCACCTGGGGGGGGTGTTTGAACCCATTCCCCCTCCAGCCCCCTTTAGAGACGGTTCTGTTTCCTTTTTGTCTGGTCTGGGCCTTTTACTAATTAACTCATCTCCCCTTGGCCTTTCCCTCCTTCTCCTTCTCCTGTGTAAGGGCTCCCCCTTATCTGGGTCTCCGTTTCCTTTCCTTTCTCCCCCTCTGCTGATAGCCGGCCTATCTTTATGAGGCTCTTTCTAGCGTCTTGAAAACATCACTTTGCAAAAGCAGATTCCAGCTGCTGCTCCTCTGTCTGGACTTGAGATGATCTTCCTTTCCATTTCCCACTGCCCTCCCTTTTTGCATGGAGCCGACAGAACGGTCAGGGGGGGAGGAATGGGGGTTGGAGGGGGAGACGCTCCAAACCAGAGCCAAAGTCAAGTTGAAAATGGTTCAGAAGACAGGATGCTTGCTGGGTTCTGGGAGGCAACCAGCCAGTAACTGTGGCTGGATCCCTCACCGTCTCAGCTTTGCAGTGGTGCAGCTTCTGTAAAAGTTGGTCACCCATCTGACAGCTGCAGGGAAATTCTGAGGACTCCCAAACCCCCCAACTAATGGATCACATGTTCAAAGCACTCGAACCAGGTTTTTTTCAGGGGGGGAAAATAGATTGCAAACTTACCCACTCCAAAAAAGGCCGGCCAGCGTAACTCGAGGGGAGACTGAATCCCAAAGAGCCCACATTTCCAAGATTTAAGGCTGAAAACAATTAGATAGTTAGCACATCATTAGAAGTGGAGCTCTGTTGAGAAGTAAAAGGCATTCATTTGTCCTATTTTGAGCTTCCTTTAGATCCACAAGTTAAAAATCAGTTTGTTTTTGTTTGGTGATTGATTGTTGAAGGTAAACGTGGGCCTCAGTGGTGAATCTGATGGCTGAGACGCGGCAGCTTTGAAGGAAATGTGTCTTGGGAGGAAGAACGTTTTATGACCTGCTAATTCTGGTATCTCATCTGATTCTGGCCTCAAGCAGAGAGAGGTGGCCGCAGGGCATGGGATTCGTGATTTGGTCCTTTCCTTCCTCCATTCAACCCTTCCATGACTCTGCCAGGGGTGCAACCATTGGGAGGGGGGGTGTCATTTCTTGCCTCTCCGAGAAGATTCTCCCGCAGTTGCCTTGACGGAGGAGTTGGCATGGGGGAGGGTTTCCTCGAGGGAGGGAGTCTGTCTGTGCAAGCCACCCTTTCTCTTCTGGCAGGAAGGAGAGCTGGTTTCCCCAGGCTCAGGGCTCCCGGGGGGGGGCATGCTCGGATGGCCTCTTTCTCCCCGGATTCTCCCTTGTAAAGCGGTCCCAACCTCCTCCGACCTCCCTGTGTGGGCCCTTTGTTGTTGTTGTTTCTGTTGCTGCCCTCGGTTGTTGTGGGGTTTCAGGGCCAGGGGCGCTTCGGAGAGTAACCAGGCATCTCCCTTTTCAGACGGAGATTATTTCACCTTTACGAGACATGAGCCCGTCGGTGTGTGCGGACAGATCATCCCGGTGAGTCACTTTGCTCACACCTCGTATTTCTTTTCACGAGAATCCATTCCCGGGGCTTCGGCGAGGTGTGTTTTGCATTACAGGAGTCCGCCTTGCGAGGGTGGGGGCAGTGGGGGCAGCAAAACAGGGGACCCATCCATCCTCGCCCTCTTCCCAACGGCCTCCCTCCAGAAGCTCATTTGCGCACCCCAAGCCCAGTTTTCAGGACCTCTTAAGCATAGACAGCAAAATTCTCAGAGCAGAGCCAAGGAAGCCAACGGGGGGTGGGGGGGGCAGACAGCTGTCCGACCACAGAGGCGTTTGCACAGCCTGGAGGAGGTGGCAGCTCCTCTTCTCTCTCATGCGGGTTTCATGATTTTTTTCTCCCTCCTTTTTTCAAAGAGGCACACAACTCCAGTGTGTACAACTGGGGCCGGCCCTTCTGTTGAGCAAGAGGTAAAATGTCCGGAGGAGGTGGCAGTACACCCAGTTGCAGAGCCTGGTTGTTTCTCCCCTAGAAGGTTTGTGTGTGTGTGTGTGTGTGTGTCTGTCTGTCTCTCTCTCTCTCTGTGTTTGTGTATCCAATTCAGACCTTTTAATCTGGACAGGAAATACAAATCTGGTGTGCTTCCTGTCGCCTCTTCCCCAGGATCATGAGTGGGTTTTGCTCCTGCTCAAATGTATGTTCCTATTGTGAATGGTCAGGCACGTGTTTTCATACCTATTTTTTGGCTCATCTGGGTTAGCTAATAGGCCAGATTTCCTCTGTTAGCCAGCACCATAATGTGGCAACCATTCTGGACCTAGCAATACATTATAGGTAACATTTTGTTCAAAGAGGAAATTCCGTAGCTGCTGAAAGCATCTGATGGTCACCACAAGAACATTTCTCACTTCCCATAAATTTGCAGATCAGCTTCCTTTGTCTTGTGATTAGTCTTTGGGACAGGAGCACACTCTTTGTTTGCCAGCGTGAAGCTTGCTCTGTCATGAAGATCTGCCTGAATCACATCTCTGGAAGGACGATGTGATTTCAGCTCTAATGACTGGTTAGCTACACCATAGAGCTCGTCCTTCTGTTGTGTCTGCAACTATTTATTTGGAGACGCTGTTCCCTAGAGAAGCTAGAAAGTCCCCGAGAAAGCATTTCCATAGTAATTTTAAAGGGTTTCCTCCCACAATTAAAAAAAGGAAGAAAGAAAAGAAAAAAGAAAACCCAATTCATGAGACAGTTCAGAAGCTACTGAGGTTTGAGGAGTGATCTGAAGCTGGGTGCCCTCTTGGATTAATATCAGCATCTCTCAGCTTTTAAATCTTTGTTTATACAGGTCTCTGCCTAGCCATAGGGGTCCCCCTTGTGTGTGTGTGTGTGTGGTGTACACACACACACTCATTAATGCTTTAAAGGCTAGTCAAAATATCCCCAGGATAATTCCTGTGGGCGATCATGACCGCAGATAATCCCTCTCAGCGCCTGTTTGTGAGGAGTATCATGACACCGGAGCAGGACCGGCCAAAGCGGGTCCTCCTTCACACACTGCAGAAGCGAGGGGCTAAATCCGGTGCGGCCAGACCACAGCATCGCCTCCGAGACCCATCCGGGTCTCAGAAGTTGGCTGGAAATGAAAGCATCCCTCTCCAGAGCTTAGAAAAGGTCCGTGTTTGGACTGTTGCTGCCAGTGACTTTTCCGAGCTTTGCAATAAGACTCTCCACACACACACACCCCTGGTATATAGCATTGGGGGTATGGGGTGGGGTCTCAGGCATGGCAGCCCCCATAACGCTGGTGGCGGTTGTGTTTTTCTCCCGACCTTCTGACAGTGGAACTTCCCCCTGCTGATGTTTGCCTGGAAGATTGCCCCGGCCCTCTGCTGCGGCAACACCGTGGTGATCAAGCCGGCCGAGCAAACCCCGCTCACCGCTCTCCACATGGGGGCCCTGATCAAGGAGGTAAGGCCAGGAGGAAGAGCAGCGCCCCCCCCGGGGAGGGGCTTCCAAACCGCCTGGGGGTCCCGTCCTTTCCATCCCAACCGGGGCTCGCTCTCTCTTTCTCTCTCTCAATGGCCTTCCTTTTCCTTTCTGGCAACAGGCCGGGTTCCCACCAGGAGTGGTCAATATTCTGCCGGGATTTGGACCCACAGCCGGGGCGGCAATCGCTTCTCATCCGGGGATCGACAAGGTGGCCTTCACTGGATCCACTGAGGTGAGAGGGTGTTTCTGGGGGGGGGTAACCAGAGGGATCACCAAGGGGGGCCCAGGGGGCCGACTAGGGCTTTGCCCCGTGGGCGTAAAAGGTTGAGGGCCCTGGAATCGAGAACAGGAGTCGGCCGGTCACCGTGCAGAGAAATAAATGGCAAGACGTGCCGGCTTTCTTGCTTTCTTCCTCATTTGAGAGCCTCCAGTTTCTCTTTCTCTTATGAGGACGGTGGGCCTTCCTCCTTTTTCATGGGGGTGGGTGGGCTTGCACTCCTGCTTCATCCCAAAGAACCGACCAGGCGCCCTTCTGCTGTGAACGTCTGGCAGGTCTGTGCAGGAGAACGTCCCGCTCGGCCCACCTGCCTCCCATTTCCTGCCATGGCAAGCAGCACCCGGCAGCCCGAGCCCGGGGTGACTCTTTCGCCCTGCCTTGCTGGCGAGGGTCTCCTCCGACGCCAACCCCGTCACACATGAACTGACCGGACCGAATTCTGGAGCACCCGGACTTAGCCTGCTCCCAACCGCTGGCTTTCCAGAGGACCCTGGACAACAACTCCCAGCCTTCCCGTGAATCAGGGTGATGGGGGTGGCAGTCCCACCCCCTATGGGACTCTCTCTATCCAGGAAGCCGGGCGCGCTCGGGGACGTGGTTGGCGGCGTTTGGGTTACAGCAGAACGTGTCATGCGGAAGAGCCCCCAGATCGGAAGGAGAGAAACACAGAGCTTCAGAGCTGCCAGTTGTAGCCAAAATACATTTTTAGAGTCATTCCAGAGGGTTTTAGTTTTTAATAGGCGTGTAAACTCGAGCGCTCCGGATTTTGTCCTGACAAAAACAGTACCTGCCTTTAGGAGCCCGGCTAATAGGAAGTGAAAAGCATTTCAGGGATGGGGTGGGGGTTAGAGCAAATCTCTAAGAAGCCTAAAGTGGGAACAGCTGGAAACTTTTAATGCAACAAGAGAGAGAGAGAGAGAGAGTGTATGTTGTTATTTCCTGTCCTGTAACAGGAATTCTTGTAACAACGAAGGCGTCCACCACGGAGGAGCGGGTTCAAAGGCATGGGGGGAGATCAGCTGCTCCGCAGGGCCCAAAGCTGAGGCTTCCCAGAGTGAAGAGGGTTAGGGTTTAGCACTCTCGAGAGGACTGGGCGTCTGGTGCCCATCTCAGGGGCACATCCGTAGCACGTGTGCGGGCAACCAGGTTTCCTGCTGTCGTGCAATTCACACACATACACACACACACACACACACATCCCTGCCAAAGTACCTGGAGGGGCAGGTGGCCTGTTAGCAGATCAAAAGCAAAGGTAGCAGGCAAGAGAGAGCCCGGCGAGGTTGCCAAAGATCCATGATGGCCCTGGGTCCTGGTTGTCCCCTTTTAGCGGTTCTGGCTCCCGAGGTGCCTTTTGTCCTCCTCTGACTCCAGGGATAAATGGCTGGGCGTGGGCTGTGCAGCTGGGGAGCTGTGCATATGGAGGATTTTTGGCAGGGCCTTTGATGTGCCCCCATTCCTGCACACGCGCACACACACACACACACCCTCTGTCCCCCACCCCACCCTCCTTTCCCTGGCCAGAGCTGGCTCCCGCAGGGGGGCAAGCCCAGGGGTGCCCATGTTTTCCCCCAGCCAGCAGGCCAGCAACTTCTTACACGAACTCTCCCGTC